GCAAGTATTACAAATGAAGCCAGAGTCCCCATAGCTATGTAGAGGTTTTCAGAGCCCCTTCCTATCAGTGCAAGTAAAAAGTAATACCATCAAGCACCAACTGCTGAATATAAGAAGTATAAAATCTTCTATACACACATACAGTTCAACCCAGTTCTCTCTACTTCAGCCTTAGTAACTGCAGATTGCCTAGTAGGAAAGCTGTCTCTCACAGGATGACCACACAATAGCTTCAGGAATGAGGTCTGTCACAGTTCCTTTGGGGCTTTGGAGACTAAAACTCTGCTCCCACTCCCAGTGTCACCAGAACCAGCTTGAGGTTCTGATGTCATAACAAGAGCAGACAAGGGATATAGTGGCTGCCTGGCTTAGCTCCTGTGGGAAAGTACTGTGGTCAGTTCTACACATACATTGCTTCTTTCATCTATGTTCTGTTCAGACCTCCTTGTGCTAAACGTACGATTTTCCTCCCCTCTTCCCCCAAGCTGTGCCTCTGTGCTCTTCAGAAATGCCAAGGGGAATTATACAACTTGAACTAGTTTGCCGTGCTGCTGGGCCACTCGTCTGTTACTGATTTCTTCTTCTTCTTTTTTTATTTTTATTAAAAGCATTTCCATTTCCTTTGCTCAGAAACCTCAGAGTGTATGTGCACAATTACCAAAATGCCGAGTCATCAGCATCCTACCTATTGAGGAATGTCAGACTCTGGAAATGAAAACATTGATCTTGCACAACACTTGGATGAGCCAGGACTTTGTCACGAAATAAGGGTTCCTTTTCCTGTTAAAAAAAAATTGCTTATATAGACCCAACCTTTGTAGAATAATTTTATCTTTTAGTATTGAGAATCTTTTGGGGTTTTGAGAATAAACTGTTGGTAGCATTGTTTTGTCTTTATTTCTTTTCTTAATTTTTTTAAAAGTTTATTTTATTTTATTATTTTTTTGTGTGTACCGTCAAATCAGATCTGACTGGTACAGGAGGAGATTGTTCCTCCTTCTCCAGCAGAGCATCTGGTGGATTTGAACCGTGCACCTCTGAGATTGCAGTTGCAGCTTCTTGCCACTAGGCCACCCGAGTTCGCCTCTTTTTTTTATTTTTAATAAAAGCCCTGTTTCTCCTCCCAGCTCAGCAGTGATGTAATGTGTGTTTGGTATGCAAGTCCTTAGGAGTGAAAGCAGTGTGACATACCTGTCCTCTGTGGCAGTGAGGGGATGGAATCTTTGGGAGGAATGAGGATGTTGTGTCTCTTTTCAGCAGGGAGTAGCAGTGATTGAAAGAGAAGCTTCTGTGGAAGGAAGGGAGTTTGCAGAGAAGAGTCAGCTGCATTCTCCTGTCTACCTCCCTGAATGTATCTTGAATTGTAACATAAAAGATGAGTATGTGGACCAGTAGTTTATAGGGTAAAGCATATGTCGGTCCAAGCAAGGCAGAGAATTATTGAAGAGTGATGGTTATTTCCTAGAGAAATTGAGTTCACATGTTTTGCTCACACTCTTTGCCTGGATTATGTTTCAAGGTGAGTTCACTAAGGTCAAGGTAAGGTTTTCTAGACTATACTCACAGGCCAAAGAAATAACTGTCCTGTGGGACTAACTGCTCCCTTTTTCCACAACAACTAACCCCAGAAGAAAATACCTTACTGGGCCAGCAACCACTCAAGAACAGCCACATACTGGATGCAGCCAACCCAGGGGTTTTTTTGACATTGTTGTTTGTTTTTTGGTGTTTTTTAAAAAAAATTATTTTTTAATTGATATTTTGATGGAAGTTTACAGAAAACTTGTATTTTCATTCCTTCATTGTTGCACATTTTCCTCCCTAACCACCCCCCCCCAGTTCGTTTTTCTCTTTAAAAAGATTCTTTCATTGTTGCACAATTTCCTCCCTCCCTCCCTCCCACCCACCCCCAATCCACTTTGCTATACAGCTCTTATTCTGGACTGTTGTCATGCAGATAATCCCTAATCATATATTTCTTTTAGACAGTTCTCTCCCTCATATATTTAAAT